TACTTCACCGTGGTGCAGGGGTATCGCGCTCGTATCGCGCTCGTTTAGGGTGTGAGAGGCCTAAGGTTCAAATCCTAGTCGAGGCAACTTTTTTTTTGAAGTGTCTTTTTTAAGGAAGTAGCCACGATATGCAAGGATAAAGTGTGGCTGTCATAAAAAATGATTTTTGATGCAACTCTAGTCATGCAAAATTCCATATGTATCAATCTCAAACTGTTATAGAAAAAAATCTTAACGCAGTCGCTGCGTAAGATGAATTATAGTATATAAAAATAAACCTATATAGGAAAATACATACAGATAGTCAGTATGATTTAGATTGCAAAGATCAGAAAATACCACAGAGCTTGCAGCCCTTTGATTTATGAATTATTTGTCATATATTTTCCACACGACATAAATGATTTCGCCGTATTACCTGATGTCAAATATAATCATCTATAGGTTTGCTAATGTTTTTTTATGAAACTTTAAACCTAAAACCTACAATGGAACTATTTATTCTAATATCTCTTATTCAAGAAATTTGATTGGCTGAACCTGAAACATACGGAATCCCGTTCACGATGGTACAGTGGTGAAAGCGCGATAGTACGATGATGAAAACGCGAGGGTCCGATGGTGAAAACACGATGATACGAAATTGAAACAACGATTTTCCATGGTGAAACAACGATGGTACGTTGGTGAAACAACGAATGAACAATGATGAAAATGTGATGGTACGATGGTGAAAACACGATGTAACGATGGTGAAAATACGATGGTACGATGGTGAAACTGTGATGGCATGATGATGGAAACGCGGTATTATTCTCACTAGCGCGACATCGCATCATCGTGATTTCACCATCGTGCTATCGTTGTTTCATCATCGTTCTATCGTGCTTTCACCATTGTACCATCGTATATAGCGGTTCAGGGAGACAAACAAGAGCTGTCAGTAGGACAGCAACGCTCGACTATTCTTAGTGCTTGATAGTAAAAAAAATGCTTGATACAGTTCCTCCTCCTGTTTACAGGTTGGGGTTATGATGGTGAACAAGTGTGCAAAGTATCAAAGCCATATGTCAATGGACTTTGAAAATATTTGAACTATTACAAAAACTTTAACGTAAATTCTAAGTCAAAAAAGGGGCATAATTCTGTCAAAATGCTTGATAGAGTTACCTCCTTCTGTCTACAGGTTGGGGTCATGATGGTGAACAAGTGTGCAAAGTTTCAAAGCCATATGTCAATGGACTTTGAAAATATTTGAACTATTACAAAAACTTTAACGTAAATTTTAAGTCGAAAAAGGGGCATAATTCTGTCAAAATGCTTGATAAAGTTACCTCCTCCTGTCTACAGGCTGAGGTCATGATGGTGAACAAGTGTGCAAAGTCTCAAAGACATTATGTCAATGGACTTTGAAAATATTTGAACTATTACAAAAACTTTTAACATAAATTCTAAGTCAAAAAAGGGGCATAATTCTGTCAAAATGCTTGATAGAGTTACCTCCTCCTGTCTACAGGTTGGGGTCATGATGGTGAACAAGTGTGCAAAGTTTCAAAGCAATATGTCAATGGACTTTGAAAATATTTGAACTATTACAAAAACTTTAACATAAGTGATTACGCCGACGCCGACGCAGACGCCGACGCCGACGCTCGGGTGACTACAATAGCTCTACTTATTCTTATCGAATAGTCGAGCTAAAAATGTAACTTATGTCCAAACGGAGCACCGTAATCGAGTGATATTTGAATGTCGTTTCGCATCTCGCAGGGATCTCGCGTCTCGCTTCACATCTCGTACGTCGACGCGAGACAAGAAAATCCTTCGGGGCAATATACCGCTAAATAGTATTCCCTAATATATTCTATATACTTGTTACTGTAAAATCACTTAAAAATCACATTGCTGTGACGTGGAAGAACCCACGATACTAAAATTAAAATTCACTCTATCAAATACGTCGTTTGCTCGCAATTTTCTACTAAAATGTCAAAAGCATAACCATGATGAAATTTAAATTTAGACGTCTATGGCCACGCAGAGTTAAAATGTAGTGTTAAATAACCTGTCCGCCATTACGCGACAAGGCCAAATGGCTCCAGCGCTGGTTCCTTTACCATAGCCAGGTCTTTAAGAAGCACAGGCACGAAGCGATGCGCGATATTTTGCTGAGAGACACGAAAAGCGAAAATCCTGCAAAACATGAAGCGAGGCACTATATTCTACAGTATAATCTCGTGGGAAGGGATACTTCGACATTGCGAGATCTCGTGCTACAATATCGTGCCTCTCTTCGTGTCTCGTCGGAATGTCGCTTTTCGCCAGATTCTGTGAGGCCCGATATTCTATAATAATGGTATTATTTTGATGATTTTTGGAACTCATGCACGTTGAAAGTGCTTTTTCAATGGCGGATCTGTAAGCAGCAATTCTCGGAAAATGGCGATATTTTATATATATTTCTGATGAAGACAAAATATGTGCGGGATGGTATTCTCATTTTCCATTAGATCAAATAGGGGCCTCCATGGCAGAGTAATTAAAAATAAAGTTTCCTTTTAAAAGGAAAGGCTTGCACAGTTGTGCCTTCATCCCAACCCTTTAAAAAAAAATTATTTTTTTTGGTTTCAATTTATTATCACAATTTTTTTGAATTACGGAAGACGGAATACTACTACAATCACTATTCTCTATTGTATAAAACTAATACAGACAAAAAACAATTATAAAAGAAACTAACTTTTGCGTCTTGAAAAACAATTGAAACGGAACAATTTCGTTTATAATTTATTACGGTTTAAACCGATAAATCAAGTAAAAATAGAAATCCTATTTATATAAACAAACTGTGATTACCGAAAATAGCTTAGATTTCCGTAATATTACTTCGTCTGATTCCGCAGTATGACGGAATCGCCCGAATTGTCACGATTGCAATCGGAACTACATCGGCTATTATCATTAATCCGAAGAGTGACGGAAAAGGCCGAAAAGTTGCGATTGGCACGATTGCAGCTGGTTTCCCGTTCAATCATGCACTAACAATTGGAAACAGGAAACCACCTTACCGGAACAAGTTATTCAAAACAAATGGCTTGCAGCCGTGGCTGCAAGCCAAAAAACACTTGCCCCGAACCGCTGTAGGTTTGACACTTAATCTGGGCGTCGAACTATTCATGCGAGGAAGTCTGTCCAGGGTTCAAATGCGGAATACCTTGTTGTTGCTTAGAATATTTCTTAAATCATTTATAAAAGTTGAAGCATCGGAAAGAAACGTGTCACAATTAATGATAAGTATGGACTTGCTACATATTGGAAGTGACCTAAAAACGGTATTATAAATACAGAAACCACAGAACAATGGCTGGGAGCCGGTATAACGGACGGGCATAATTATTACCTTTTTAGAATTTTATGGAAGAATGTGAGACAAATGTGCTTCGAGTGTCCTTTCTATTGTGTTTCGAACACATCTGTCTAATTTCCAATTTGTCGCAAATATGAATGTTTACGAGCACATCGGTCACACCTCGTGAGACAAATGTGTTCCGAGACAAATGTGCTCCTACACCGCGCGCCTTTTACCCATTACTTCAGGAGCATTTTGTAAAAAAAAATAGCCGTTTTCATTGAAAAGTCTCCCGGTACAAGTTCAAATTGCTATAAAACTATAAAAAAAAAACTGCTTCCCTATACTAATCAAACTTTGCACAAATGTTGACTGGACCATTGCCTTTGTAACAACATGCTCAGGCTTAAATTTCCTGTTACCATGGCAACGAGGGAACATCTCAAAATTGCCAAAAATCACTATTTTGCGTTGATTTTTACCATCAAAATTGATTTCAAAGTGCTGAGGTAAAGGGTTAACAAAAAATGATGAAAATACCTGAAATTACCCAAAAATGCGTTAAGGATGACGTCATTCTACTGTTATGAATGATGTTGTGGGTTCATACGCTACTATAAGAAAAAAAATGCGTAATGAGAATATCAATTTTCGTAATTTCTGTTCTGAAAATAATCAATATGTAATATGCAAGAAAAAGAACCAAACACCGACTGTAGGTACCGACCGGAATATCTAGCTCTCGGGTAACTGTTTAACGGAAACTCGACAGAGCCTTGTTACCGCCTTCAGCTAGATATTCCGGTCTGTACCGGCAGCCAATGTTAGATTCTTATAATGTAATGCGAGCCAATAATGTAATGCGAGCCTCTGGCGAGCATAATATCATTTTATTCAATGGGTTCAATAAATTCAGTATGGAACCTACACGAATTTAATATTCTTTTTATCATATACCCATAGACCGTTTAAAGTGAAAAAAAGTCATTTTTGATTGACGCGCTTATAGTATAACGCTAACATTTAGTGCGTCTTTACGCTATATGTTTGTATAAGGCTTATGGCGCCACGTTAAAAGATATGCACGACCGTGCAATACCATTTTAAGGAGTCGCAAAATCGACACGGGTGTGTGATAAAATGTCATATCTTGTTATTCTAATTTCATTTCAATTTTTATTTTCAACTGTATTTTTAGGAGGAATTTTGAAATTTAATGAGACAGTAGTTTTTCTGTTATCTTGATGAACTGAAATGAAAAAAAAATTAAATCTGGACATTATCTTATTCTAATCTCAGTTACCGGTTATTGGTTTTAGTTAAATGCACAGACGAAAAAATACCCGTACCCGTTTAAAAACGGATAATCGCGACAGTGAACTATTTGGTACATGTACAAATATGTTTTGTTTTTCTTACATCAAACTTTATTCATGTGGGAAGAACTGTAACACGAAGGATGGAGTTCTTATGATAACTTGTCAGGAGTTATCTTAAGAACTCCATCCTTCGTGTAACAGTTCCTCTCTCGTGTCTATTTAAGTCTCATAGTTCTTAAACATTAAGCAAGAAGTATCTTATAAAAGATACTCGTACGGGGTTAAACTGCTTTTTATTTTATTTGTTCAACTAATTTCTTTTGTTATTTCAGTTGTATGGATCTTTGACTGTCGGCATATCGATGGTAGGGTATATGATGATGTGTTATGGAACTTCTCAACTTTTAGTGCTCCTCATCATGGAAAAACTGCACAAGAAATTAAAACCAAGTGTTGCCATTTTTAACGGTGAGTAGCGACAATAAAACCCATTTATAGTTCTAACTAGACCTTTGAATTTTGTAGAATATTCCACATATAGTTCACGTTAAAGCAGTATGCCTCCAGAAGATAACAGAAAAACTTGCTAAAATTTCAGAATTCCTCATCAAAAATATATGTTCGTGAAGTTGGCAGCCTAGCAGCCTGAAGTTGGCAGCCTTAATAAAGAAAACTTAGAATAGTACAAACATGAAAACGGTCGGAAATACATCAGTAGCACTTCCTTAGATCATTCCACGCCTTTTTTTAAGATCGTGATCTTTATTTTTTTAAGATGTTGAACTTTATGTTAACATATTTTTTTCATTCTGACGCTTTGAAATTTGTGAAGTTAGCAGCCTAAAAGCCTGGCAGCCTAGCAGCCTAAAGAAAACTAAGGATAGTACAAACATGAAAACCGTCGGAAATGAATCGGTAGCACATACTTAGACCATCCCACGTCTTGTTTCAATATCGTGATCTTTATTTTTAAAAAATATTGAACTTATTTTTTTCATTTTGACGCTTCGAAATTTGTGAAGTTAGCAGCCTAGCAGTGTAGGAGCACATTTGTCTCGGAGCACAATTGTCTTACGTAAGACCGATGAGGTCGCATTTGTCCCACACGAGACAAATGGGACCCCAAAAAACTCATTTGTGTGACAAATGTGCTCCGATCAAGTTTTTTAAGGGACAATAAAGCACATTTGTCTCATGTGTTTTTTATGAATTATTTGTCACATATTTTCCAACGGCAGATTTTTTTTTAGAATCGAGGTTCGCCGTTTTACCTCATGTCAAATGGCAGCATCAATAGGGTTATGATATATTATTTTTCGAACATAGTCACTTTAAAGGAACAAATGATAATAAATGCAACATATATGTTTAACTTATTTTATTTTTGGTTGGCATAAAATTTCCGTCATGACTGGTCATTAAGAATCATAAAGTTAATAGAGTTTGAACCTTTTATATAAAATAGAATATTATAAAATTTGTTTTGCTTCGTCATCGATTGCAAAAACCTGTAATTTTATGTTAGATTTTCGCCTTGTCCATGGCTGAATAAGAGCATTAAATATTCCAGACAATTGGTAATAGAATGATATTAACAATTACATGTATATCAATTATAATATTATATGACTAAATCTCATATCCGAACAGTCGGCAGTGACATTTTATAAATTGCTCCGGATATCGGAAACTTAATATGTTTATTCAGATATAATCAATTAAAATTATAATTCCAAAAAGAGACAACGTGCTGAAAAATGCCAGATATGATAATTAACCCTTTCCCCCATGAGCATATTGTGAAAAATGGCCATTTTCACTGAAAAGCCTCCTGTTACAAGTTCAAACTGCTATGAAACTATGAAAAATGCTTCAATACTAATCAAACTTGGCACAAATGTTGACTGGACCATTGCCTTTGTAACGACATGCTCAGTCTTAAATTTCTTGTTACCATGGCAACGAGGGGACATCTCAAAATTGCCAAAAATCCCTTTTTTGCCTCGAATTTTTCCATCAAAATTTATTTCAAAGTGCTGCAACTTCTCAAGGGATTGAGATAGAGTCAAAGGCTTTTCAGCGTTGGTTACACGTTACCTTATGATCGACCTGGGGTCATTTAAAGCCTCTCACAAGTCCAAAATTTTCTTGGCGATGAGGGGGACTCCGCCCCCCTTCAAACCCCCCAAACAGAAGGGGGCACATCCCCCTTCTGGCAACCCCCTGATGTAATATTTGGATGGGGGACGGCGCCGAAAAAATGGTCACTTTTTTTAACAACATTTCTCAAACAAAAGACAGTGTTTGGGGCCTAAATAGGGCATTTTTTCACTGTTTGAGGCCTCAAAAAAGCGGGGGGGCAAAAAGCCGTCGAAACACGCTTATATAAGGGAAAAGGTTAAACACTTGAAATCGGAAGCTTATAAATTACGTTTTATAAATATTATCAATAAAAATTATCAAGCATATCACGATCAAAACTGCCGTAGAATTTCAAACTAGAACAATGACTCAACAGGTTTGATCGTATATTCGTCTTAGGAATACTGGCCGCCTACGTAAAACCCCTTTTTTAAGAAGAACTGTAGCATCCGTTGGCATGCACGGAGGAAACCTCCTCAGACTATTCCACGGAATATAAAACAACGGACCTGCTCAGATATGCCAATAAACATAAAATACAAAATACATACAACTCACTAAAGAGAAAAGTTCTGTTTAAGAAAAATATTATTTTAATTAAATAGTAGAAGGTAGTGTGATATTTAATGTAGGTTTGCTTGAAACCATGTATAACAATGTAATGATAATAACCATTATCTCATTTTTTTAAAGACAATATGTGTTTTATTTACACATAGATTAAGTTAATTATGGCATCTGAAAACAGTGCTTTGTTTTGAACCGTCATCGGTTACAGGTTATCTAATGACTATTCTACAAATTGTGAAATATCCGAAAGTCAGTTGCATCCCTAAGGTGTTTGAAATGAGTTTATGCTTATGCACAGGCCAGTTAAGTGTATGTTTTGAACCGACGTCGGATTCAAATGATAAGGGTCTGGAGTCGACGTTGGTAAACTTCCAGATGTCGCAAAACCAATATTGACTGTTGAAATGATAATTCCAGCCATGACGAAGAAGGGCTAAGTACCGCGGAAAACAGAAAAAAGAGACAAACAGCAAGGCAAATGGGAAGGGCGGGTGGGTATTTTTCCGTGTTGGTTCAGGGCAGCTTCAGGAGCTCGTAGACTGGATGGAAAAGGAATTTGCAGAAGCGTGCTCGGTTTATATACCCAGTCTACTAAGCATGCGCGAACGAGATTAAATGACTTGTTAGGGGGAGGAGCCAAACATACAGGCCATTGCAAAAATACTGTGACGTATAGCGTAAAATTAAAGAGTTTAAACTCAAGCGCTTAAACTGATAATTAACCCTAAAACCTACAGTGGAACTATTAATTCTAATATCTTTAATTTAAGAAATTTGATTGGCTGAACCTGAAGGCGTACACTGAAACACATTTAATCCCGTTCACAATGGTATAATGGTGCAAGGGCGATGGTACGAGGATGAAAACACGATGGTACGATAATAAAAACACGATTGTACGAAAGTGAAACAACGATTGTACGACGGTGAAACAACGATGGTACGATGGTGAAACAACGAAGGCACGATGATAAAAACGTGATGTTACGATGGTGAAAATACGATGTAACGATGGTGAAAATACGATGTTACGATGGTGAAAATACGATGGCATGATGATAAAAACGCGATATTGTTTTCACCATCGTGTCATCGCATCATCGTGATTTCACCATTGTGCCATCTTTGTTTCATCATTGCATCTTTTTATCTTTGCATCCTTACCATTGCATCAGTGTACCATCGTGCATAGCGGTTTAGTGAGACTTAAAATGTTACTTATGTCCAAGAACACCGTAATCAGTCGATATTTAAACCAATGTGGCCATACCACGTGACTTTTCGGGTACGGAGCACGCCGACTTTTCACCCGATTTAGGTTTGTTTTTTATTCATGACTTATTTATTACTCGACCGATTTTGATCAGATAAGGCGCAGAGTACCCGTAATTTTATCAGCTTTTTACGGTATATCAAAATTCTGAAAACCCCTGAATGGTTTTTGAGAACATTCGAGTACAGTTTTCTTTTCATAGCCGGGGCTATATGTCATATGTATTTTGTCACTATTTCATAGAACAAGAGGGCCATGATGGCCCTGGGGTCGCTCACCTGTATATAGGCCCCCGGAGCGGGGCCAGTTTAAACCCCAGGGCTTTTATTTGAACAAACTTGGAAGACACTCATTAGAAGATGTTTCATAATGTTAAGTTTTTACTACACACATATTATGAAAAACAATGATCTCCCCCCCCCCCCGGCAGAGCCAATTTTCACCCGAGGGCTTTTATTTGAACATACTTGGTAGACACCCATAAGAAGATATTTCATGCTAAACATCTAAGCTCTAGCTCATTGGGTTTTTTAAAAGAAGATTTTTAAGTTTTTACTATACATATAGTTAAAAACAATGACACCCCTGGGGCGGGGCCAGTTTTGACCCCAGGGCTTTTATTTGAACAAACTTTGTAGACACTTACTATAAGATGTTTCATGCTTAATATCTAAACTCTAGCTATTTGGGTTTTTTCAAAAAGGATTTTTTAAGTTTTTACTATATGCATAAAGGGGAAAATCAATGACCCCCCGGGGCGAGGCCAATTTTGACCCCAGGGCTTTTATTTGACAAAACTTTGTAGACACTCACTAGAAGATGTTTCATGCTTAATATCTAAACTCTAGCTTTTTGGGTTTTTTCAAAGAAGATTTTTTAAGTTTTTACTATACACATTTAAGGAAAATCAATGACCCCCAGGCGGGGCCAATTTTGACCCCAGGGCTTTTATTTGAACAAACTTGGTAGACAACCATAAGGACATGTTTCATGCTAAATATCTTAGCTCTAGCTCTTTGAGTTCTTTAAAAGAAGATTTTTTAAGTTTTTACTATATGCATATAGGGAAAATCAATGACACCCTGGGGCGGGGCCAATTTTGACTCCAGGGCTTTTATTTGAACAAACTTGGTAGACACTCATAAGAAGATGTTTCATGCTGAATATCTTAGCTCTAGCTCTTTGGGTTCTTTAATAGAAGATTTTTTAAGTTTTTACTATATGCATATAGGGAAAATCAATGACCCCCTGGGGCGGGGCCAATTTTGACCCCAGGGATTTTATTTGAACAAACTTGGTAGACACTCACTAGAAAATGTTTCATGCCAAAAATCTAAGCTCTAGCTCTTAGGATTTTTTAAAAGAAGATATCTTAAGTTTTTTCTTTCGGTTGCCATGGCAAACAGAGTTCTGTATGGAATTAAATTCTTTGAACAATTTTTAAAGGTGACCACCAAAGGAACATTCCTGTGAAGTTTGGATG